AGGCCGCCGTCGCGCGCGAAGGCGTACGTCATGCGGCTCGAGGCGGTGTGAGGATGCTGATGGTGGCGAAGAGGAGGCAGATTACGGGGAACCTGTATCAGGGTCTGTTAGCTGGGAAAGGTGGAGGAGAACGGGGTTGGTTCAGACTGGGTTGGACGGGGGAGTTGCGGTTTGGGGGGTGATTTGTGTACATGAGGAGGCAGACCGAGCCGGCTCGATTGGCTGTTGCATCGTAGAGGATCTGTAGGATGGGACCGGCGGGTGAGGAGATGACGGCTTCGACGTCGCGGAGGACGAAGAGGAGGACGGAGAGGAAGACGAAGCCGGTGAGGACGCTGATGGCTACGCAGCCGATCATGATCTTGGGGCCTTTGACGCTGGGCTGGGGGATCTCTTCGATCATGTGCTACGGCGGTCTTGTCAGCATAGCGAACGTGGATGGTGTTAAATCACGATTGGCTAACTGGGTTGACTCACCGCAACAGCATCGAAGGCGGTCAGGGCTAATGCGCCCTGCAAGAGGCCCAGTAGCCAGGCAATTCCATCGGGCCACCCCGTCTCGTTGATGAATGCGCGATATACAAACTCGCCAGACTGGTACTCAGGGGACGCACACGCCAGTGCAGTGATCGACATGAGCGTAAACCCACAGATGGACCAGATAAACGCCGCCTTGGTGACCAACGGCAACAGCCTCGTCGCAAAAGCATTGACGATGAAGGCGACCAGCGTGTATGCAACGTAGATCAGAAGCTGGTGCCATCTCTGCGCGTCGTAACCGGGGTTCATGAACGCGATGATGCCCGTGATCAGCTGGCTGCCCAGCAGGCCGCCCGTCGCGGTCAGAGCAATCCATCCGGACACGCTGATCCACCCGGTCGTCCAGGACAGGATCGGCACCCAGGCCTCCCATGCGATCACGGCAACCCAATGGTACTGGCCGCCGGCCGTGGGATACGCAGACAGGAACTCCGCCAGGGAGGCGGCCAGACAGAGGTTGCAGATGCCAGCGGTGATGAGCCCCCAGATGACAGATGTGGGACCGCCCGACGGGAGCGCGAGGGACAGCGACGCCGAGAGCGCGGTCCAGGAGTTGAGGATCGCGAAGGCGAGTCCCAGCATCGACAGGGTGGAGAAGTTCCGCTTCAGCTCCTGGCTGTGGCCCATGGCCGCCAGATATGCCGCATCATCTCCCGGTATGGATCTGGGTCGCGCCATGACGGCGACAGATAAGCACAGGGGGGAGTAGTTACAATCAGGGGAGAAAGGACACACGGGGGAGATGAGAGCATCATAGACTCGAAGCGAACAGACTCCTCCCAGATGTACTTAAGAGGACGCTAGTACCCAGCATGTTGGGTTGCACGAGATGACATGCAGTGTAGTGTATCGGCTGGCAATTCTCCGGCTTGCTCCAAGATGACACCAGAAACTGAGCAAAGATAAACATGGCTGTGTCAACTGCTCAAGCGTGCTTGCTCCAGGGCTAGAGCGAAGCTCTTACATCAGCAATAATAAGTTCAAATGATTTACTCCGTAAATTACATAAGGGTGCAGAGGGTGCAGAAACCGTATCGGGTCTAGCGCCGCCCTTGACCACTTGCCACTTTTAGATCTCGGCATCTGCCGCGTCTCTGGTCTCTATATTTGTCGTCAATCCCCCAACCATGGCGGCGGCGATACTTGTATGCAACCCTCAGTGACCATCCCGCCGCTTTGTTTCCGCTCCCAAGCCTTGTCAACTGGCGACTACGCCCCCCGGGTTGGCTCTCCTAGCTCCCACAGGCTGACACCCGTTCCATCTTGACCAGAATTTTACCTTCTTCATTAGTTAATGTCTTTAACGTCAACCGATGGAGCCATGTGGAATAGCGATAGGTGGTAGGCTCCGTCGGTATTGGCTCATTCTGACTCTCAAAGGCGCTCTAGGATGAAAGTTTATATTGGATGGCCAGTGTGTATCCTCCTTATTCGCCACTGTCGAGTGCGGCCAGAAAAGTCCCAGGTTGGACCGGTTATGAGAGCTCCGGTCCAACCGGACTGGAATACCACGGACATTTTGAGGACAGTTCTATGAAATTCTCCTCAGTGGAAGCGCTGATGGGAATGAACACCAGCCTGCATAGGACCCAAATATGAGCTTAACACTAGGTGTTGAAATGAGAGTTTTGAAGGGACCTCGCTGCTGAGTCTCACCATATGTGGATAGCAAGTGGGCGCATGATTCTGAAACAGTGTTCTCAAAGGTATTGCTTGACCATTCGACAGTGTCCCTGTCAACCTTTTAGATCAGACAGAAGCTCCCTCACATCCTATTCACCAGCACGATATGCTCCTGTGGCAATTGTAAGTCAGGTAGCCTCAGCGACTGTGATAGTTTAAAATATATCTGGAGACAACAACAACGGGCCGGTCTGAACTTTGTGACTCTATCTTTGGATTTCAGAATCGTCCGCATGGGCAAAATTAGTTGTGATGACCTACCTTGGATGACGCAGGGATGTTTTGATGATTCAAATTCCACAATGCCTTGTTTCTTCATCGCGTCAAAAACCTTGTCCAGGGGATTAATACGCTGCTTCTTCAACTCTCCATCATCAAAAGGTCGAGGGCACCATACTGGATCATGTTAGCAGGAAATATCGATGGCTTGCACGTTGTCTGCTCTGGTATTACATTGCGAAGGAGACGGCCTGCAACAGTCCTTTTTGTCGCCCCAAGAGGACTGATGAAGGTCAGCCCTAATGTTGGTCTATCATGTGTAAAGTGTTATCTTCAAATCCTGCACCTGTTGTGTTGTTCACCTGCTTGGTCCTCATTCCTACTCAAAGGATATGAATCATCTGCGTGTCAGTTTCCAGCTTGAGTGAAGGCATTAACATGCAACAAGTTGTGGGTTGAAGCTCACTAGGAGAGCAGGCAAGTAACACCACAAAATTAGATAAAGACGGTGCCCCCTTTAAGTCTTACTATCCACAACTCGATCTTCTCCGAAAGTTGTTGACTAGGCGGCCGTCAACCATCTCAGAAATTGTTGTCCTTGTAAGATGGCGACTCAAATCTTGTAGCGGCTAGCTGAGATTTACAGGTTCTGTAGCCAAGGTTTGCGAGGCGCAGCTTCAGTCACGAGCTGTTCTACCACGGTCCTGGAGGACTAGGACAACTGGCAATCTGCGCTCTTCTGGAGCCAGTCTTGCTGCCGCCTCTGAGGACCAGCCCTTCTCCATGCCTACCCTTCCATCCACGTAGGATTTGCCCTGCCCCGGCTCCCCGGGATTGGACGTCGATGACTGTCGCATCGGACGCATTAACGGCTCCACAACGGCACTGGAGCTGACTGTTCACCGGTTGAAAGAGGCAGAGAAGGAGCGTCCAAGCCCGTCCGGCAGCAGCTTCACTAAATCATCTGCGATGATAGCCGCCTGCGACAAGAGATCCATTTCAATCGAACCTGCATCGAGCGAGGGCATGAAAATGCGACCTGGGGCCCCATAAGGTGGCGCGAAAGATGATGCTCTTGTTCCTCATTGTCTGGTGGACAACTATCTTGCCTCACATTGCCCCTTCCTAAAGCTGCTGTCATCCTCCTAAAAGATCAGCTGTCTGAATCCCTAATGTCGGCAGAATCCAGCATCACTTAGCGGTGCTGGCCCGGATGAACATCGTGCAGCAGCTGTTCTACTACTCCAAGGCTTTGATAAGTGTCAACCCTTTCCCCAATGCCCAGGAATCGGTGATGCTGTTAGTCAATCCTTTACTCGCAATACTGGCACGGGCGATGCTGCATAACAAAGCTCCTCAAGCTCAGCTGTTGAACTTCTGTGAGGGCCTATTGGCCAATTTTGCTGCGTTTATCCTTGTAATCTGCTTGCGTTTTATTGGTCGACTTATCCTGCAACTCCAGAGATAATTTCGCTGTACTGTACGACGAATTTATACACAGATCTACGCTTTTTACCTCCTTATGTAAAGATAAATTTGCTATTCTACGCATTTTGCACAGCAGGTGTACAATTGAATATACCGTTCTGAATATACCGTTCCGAACGCACATTCCGACAAACTTGTCCAGCAGAGTAGTTAGTTATTAACCGTACCAAGTAAATTGAGTGTTTATAGCAAGTTGTTCTATCTAAAGCAGTGCTTAGAGAGCATATATATACGTACAAATGCTTTATGACTCAGTAAAAAGGTTGCATCTAAAGATACGCAGGATCTCATGCAAAACGCAGCAAAATAGACCCAATAGCTCCTACGTTAGTTGGCCAGCGATCTCTTGGCAATGGCGCAAGCACTTCAAGTTTGACGCAACAGATGACAGCGACCTATGGCTACGCAGACTACTGTCGGATTGCAGGCTCAAATGGGTCATGAATACACTGTGATGCTTGCAAAGGAAGTCTGTTAAATGGAAAGTACCAGCAGAGCGGCTCATGTTAAATCAGGTGGAGGACCGATTATCGATGGATCACTCTCCGCAGCTAGAGACATCATCTTCCGTACGACACTTGATGCGCACGACCAGATATTTGCTGACACACCAGTGAAACATAGAATGGAATCACCCATCTGTGGCCGACTCAGCAACAACTCCGAGTAAGCCCAGCCACATCTTCGACATTCCTAATCGGCGAGTCCCCTTCTTCGTCGGACGCGATGATGTACTGTCTCGATTGGAGACCGCTTTTGAAGTCGGACCCTGGCCACGGATTGCCGTCATTCGAGGCATGGGTGGTCAAGGTAAAAGTCAGGTTGCACTAGAATATTGTCGCCGATCAAAGAACAAGCCCTACTCTGCCATCATCTGGATCAATGCTGAAAGTGAAGAAAGCGTCCGTGCATCTTTTGCCGTCATATCGGAGCGGATCAAAACGGTAAGCGATGTTCTGCCAGATACTGCCGCTCGAATAGCGTTCGTGCTTCATAGGCTTGGCAAATGGGGGGAGCCGTGGCTGATGGTGTTCGACAACTACGACGACCCGGTCAGCTTTTACAACGTCCGGGACTACATGCCAGAAGGCCAACATGGCCATGTCCTCGTGACCAGCCGACACATGGATACAAATGAGCTGGTTGATGATGACGAACACAACTTTATAGAATTGGTCGGCCTAGACATTGTTGCGGCGTCGAAATTATTGCTTCATCACAGCCGGATCCAGGATAGGGATGAAAGTGAGGTCAAGAAGGCTCTGGAGAGACTTGGATATCATGCGCTCGCCATCACACAGGCTGCTATTTATATCAAGAAGAGGCGTCTGAGTCTATCTGAGTTTTGGAGTCACTTTGAACAACGAAAGCGTGTGATTCTTGAAACCACACCGCAATTGTCTCAGTATCGTCGAAAGCTGGGTCAGAACGAGAAAGAGACGGCGCTGAGCGTGTTCACGACGTGGGAACTTTCTTTCCAGCAACTTGAATCGCAGACGAGCCGCGGGGCTGTGGAAGCCACGCTTCTGACATTATTGGCATTCTTTAATCACATTGATATCTCTGAAGCCTTCTTCATGCTGCTTGATCGGTGTCACCACTCCGGAAAGTCAGATCAGTTGGCGTCGCTCTCCAAGGCTTTGTATACCGCACAAGCTCAATGGGACCAGCATCGCTTTCAGGATATCCTGATCACGTTGCACGGCTTGTCTCTCATCCAATCTTGGGAAAAGGACAGCAATCTACTTTGCTGTATTTCCTTGCATCCTCTCGTTCAAGATTGGATTCGTCTGCGAGCTGGTCACGGAAATGACTACGAAGAAAGCGTGCTCATTGTTGCGAAGCTTGTCAAAGAGGCGATCGCTCGTTGTTGGCATGATGTGCATTTTGTAATGCCATTGAATGACAGACAGACCTATCTATTACATGTTCGGGCTCAAGAAGGGAATCTTCGAGAGTGGCTGGACACAGAATCTTGCCAATCAATTGACGACCAAGCACTACTTGAGTACGTAAACTGTCAAGATTGGTTTGGCTTCTTCTTATTGACGTCTGGCATCTTTGCTCTTGCAGAAAGAATCCAGCTTTGGGTGATAGAGACGAGAAAGAGGGTACAGGGGCAGGAACATCCGGACACGCTGATAAGCATGAATAACCTAGCGTCAACGTACTTAGATCAAGGACAGTGGAAGGAGGCGGAGGAGCTAGGGATGCAGACGATGGAGATGAGAAAGAGGGTGCTAGGGCAGGAACATCCGCATACGCTGATAAGTATGAATAACCTGGTGTCAACGTACATGAATCAAGGACGGTGGAAGGAGGCGGAAGAGCTGGGGATGCAGACGATGGAGACAAGAAAGAGGGTGCTAGGGCAGGAACATCCAGATATGTTGAGAAGCATGAATATTCTAGCGTTAATGTACATGAATCAAGGATGGTGGAAGGAGGCAGAGGAGCTAGGGATGCAGACGATAGAGATAAGAAAGAGGGTGTTAGGGCAGGAACATCCGGATACGCTGACAAGCATAAATAACCTGGTGGTTAACTGCTTACATCAAGGACAGTGGAAGAAGGCAGAGGAGCTAGGGATGCAGACGATAGAGATAAGAAAGAGGGTGTTAGGGCAGGAACATCCGGATACGCTGACAAGCATAAATAACCTGGTGGTTAACTGCTTACATCAAGGACAGTGGAAGAAGGCAGAGGAGCTAGGGATGCAGACGATAGAGACGAGAAAGAGGGTGCTAGGGCAGGAACATCCGGATACGTTGACAAGCATGAATATTCTGGCGTCAACGTACATGAATCAAGGACGGTGGAAGGAGGCGGAGGAGCTGGGGATGCAGACGATGGAGACGAGAAAGAGGTTGCTAGGGCAGGAACACCCGGATACGCTGATAAGCATGCATAACCTCGCACGGATATGGAAACACCAAGGCCATAGTAGTAAGGCCCTAGTGCTGATGGCTGAAGTTGTCCAATTGTCAAAAAATGTAAAGGGCGAGAATCATCCCGAGACAGAAACCTCAGCTAAGATGTTGGAAGAGTGGCAGGCGCAGAAATAACTGCTTTCATTCTTATACTGACCTAATTTAGATTTTTGCACGATGTCTTTTATTCTGCAGGAAACTCTGCAGGAAAAGTAAACCACGATTAAGAGTTGAGCAAGCTCTAATCAGCAAAGCCGAAGCTGCTGAGGCATGCGTCTCTCTGTACGCGTTCATCAGTAAGCTAGCTAATCTTAGCAGCAAACGAGCAAACGACATTGAGACGAGGTCAAGCGGCCGCACGACCACTCGGACCAAACTTCAATGACCACCGGATTGGATGCCATAGCGATTCCACCATGGCGCTTGAGACAGCCAAATCCCGGTTCAAAAAGTATATGATCGCCTTGTCCCACTGTCGGAAATTCGCTGCCCCAATTAAATGAGTGGATACCTTACCTTCAAAATGTGACAGGCGATCCATTAAGTCTTTCACTGCCAAGACATCTCTGCTAGCGGCCTAGTAACTGGGTATGACCGTGCTCCTATTCCTCCGCGATCTTGTTATGGTCATGGAGGAAAAGGTATAAGTCGAGCGTTAATCGGCGGTAGTGTCTCTCCCACCCGACTCCCCCTACTCACAGGCATACAGCCTTAGACAGTCAGTTCATACTGATCTGCTGGGCCAAGGAACAGGGTCTTTACGCAACAAAAGCTTGTAAGGGCTCGCTCCGTTCCGAAGAAGTCTTCCTCGTCGATCTGTGGTACAGTGTCCAGTCTCAAGCCCAAATCGTACTTGAGTATGAGTTTACTGTGGTCGCAAATCGATACGCCTATATAGCAAGGCAGATATAAGAATGAAAATTGTCTGCTTGATTCAGTGGAAACTGTGGTAGATTGATATGGAATTTTGAGGCGTCAATTTTCTTCTGATCAGAATAATAGTCGACGGCATCTTATGTATTGAAAAACGGTCCCTTACTCGAAAAGAAAGGCATCGAATTTCTCAGGAACTTGCTGTCTCTCAGGATTGCAAATATCTAATCCCATAATTTGACCTTTGAGATGGATCTAGTTGTGACCCGTGGACAAGACGGTGACAGGGGGGGCCACCCATGGTGTAGTTATCGCGGAGAGGGGAGCGGCTTTTTATATACGTATCCAACTCTATCGAGTCGTTTTCTGCCCTACTGGAGACAGAAAATGGGCCGTAACCTGAATGAGGGCAACAATGAAAGAAAGGATGAAAGCGGGAAGAGGAAGGGAGATAACAAGATGCAAAAAAGGCACCACCCCCAGCTACTAGTAGATGGTGCTGTGCATTGCGAAACTCTTGCAAATCCTTGGCGTTATATCAAGAATTGCTGGCGCCGCGTTGTCAAACAGAAACAGCTCTTGAGGGATCTTTTATGCACTTGTATCATGTAGTCGATATATCAAAATATTGCTTGTGATGGATGGAGTATCTCCTCTGCTATGGCGCAGGAAATACACGGGACCAGCCACGCACTCGGATGGCAGCGCCGATGGCGTATCCACAACGGCACGCGGAACTCTTGCCGTCAAGCTACTATGCCGCCGATAGAGGCATCCGTACGGCACGTGGCTCCCCGTACGAGTACCATGGAACAGGAGATTGATACGACCCCTTTAGGGAAGTACAATCTCCTCCAGAGGGAAGCTACCGCTTCTGGCCCTGCAGATACTCCGTCGGATCCTCTGCGCAGGTTAACTAGTAGCACCCCTTGTGTTCGATAGAGGAGTATATAG